GAAGACTGAGCAGAGACAGACCAGAGTTACACAAACTTCAGAAACATTTCTCCAACACTTTGGCTCGTTGTACCTCGGAGAAATGTTGACCTCCAGAATCCAGGGTTTGAGTTTCTCGTCCAACATGATGTCGAAGCCGAACAGCTCGTGGCAGCTGTACGGGGTCTTCAGGTGCATCTTCAACAGACTGGTCACGTACGGCTCCGAGCTTTAAGAGCAGCGTCCGAGCAGTCAAACACAGATTCACTTTAATAAAGGTTTTTCTGATAAAAACACTTACGCTATGATCGTTTTTATCACGATATCTTTGATCTTCTCCCACAGCACGGAGGTGTTGACTCCCTTCACACCCAGATATTGCCACAAAGCCTTCAGAGCCCTGAAATCCACAAATATATGAACACAAAATATAAATGGCCCAAAGGAAGAGGACGCACCACTTGTGTCCCTGACAGGCTTTGTCGTCGCTGTTGGCCTGATACTCAGAGTTCTTCTTGTTCACACTGTAGTTGGTCAGATGCATAAACTTGTTGCTCAGAGTTTTCATGGAGTTTGAATATCTGAGAAAATAAAAAGTTTAAGTAAGTATTAGATCATGTTAATAATCAATCAATGTAGAACTTTGATACAGACTTGCAGCTGGCGAATCGAACCAAGCCGTCAGAGAAGATGTAGATCCGCAGAGGGTCATAGGACGTGACGTAGGCGTAGATACGGAGGTCAAACTTGCTCCCGCTGATGAGGTAAGGTTTGTGCAGATACCTGAGAGCAGCACAGGGACAAAGCTGAAAGTGGCAGATTGTAAACAGGAAGATTTAAATCTAAAAAAACATACTTTTGGACCAGGAGAGGTCTCCTCCGGGGAAGCTGACTCCACTTATGAATGACCTGAATGCCTGTTCCTCGAGCTGAAGCAGGCTGAGGAGAAAATCACATTTAAAAATACATATGTTAAAATTAGGACTGGAAACGGGTTACTATTTTACATTTAACATTTAACTCTAAATCAGCACCGGACACTGTTCAACAGGAGGGAAAGTTTCATTGAGTAACTTTTTATGTTTAAAAGTCTCCAAGAAAGTCCAAGAACAGATAAAGTGAAGTAAACATGTTCATTTTCAAAAAGGTTCATTTTGTCTTTAGTTAAAATGCTTTTTTTGGTTCTTTGAAAGACAAGTTTAGATGTCTGACCTTGTTCTTTAAACTAAACCAAAAGAACCAAATAAATCATTAATTATATGTTGAAATTAAAGTTAAAACTAATGTTATCATTTTGTCCTCTTTAAAACACGCACCGGTTTGATGATCCACTTCTGCTTGGTGCCACCGTCCTCCCAGGCTTTTTTCAGTCGTTTAAAGTCTTGAGGAAGAATAAATGTCCGAGGGAAAAAGCTGAACTCCTGTTTTCCAAAACGAGCTGCCATTTTAGATAAATTCCTCCACAGTCGATCTTTTCTGCCAATCTGGAAAGTCCCTGGGAAGTGATTGAGCTGTGACAAGACGACAAAGCTCTAAGTTTCCACTTTTTAACAAAAGTTTAACACATTTTAAAACTTACCTTTTGGTGTTCCCCGATGGTCTTAAAACACAGAGACTTCATGTGATGGCCCCAGCAGCCCAGCCAGTCATGGCTCTCTGCGATACAGAACAGTCTCCATAAATACTTACAAGATGTTTATGAGTCTTTTTCCAAAAACAAACTCACTTTTAGTGACTTTGAAGTGGGATCTACCGATGGTATTTTTGACAATATTTGGCGTGACGGTGCTCATCTTCCATTTCAATAACCTCCTCTGCTCGATGGGCAGCAGCTCCACTGCAGAAAGAGAAATACAAAAGAGTAAATAACGTGTTCTACCTTTTGTCTTCAGAGTCATAAAGATGGAGCAGTACCTTTCTCATCCGCGGTGCTGAAGTACAGAGTTGGTTGAAAGAAGGAGAACAAACTGGGAACCAGAGCAGGTTTCTCTTCACGGTCATCTTCACCTCCCAAAGACATGGGCTCCTCCACACTGACACAAAACAATAATCACAGATCTGTGAATAACTCTGCACTTTTCACACGGTTTACACTGGTGTCTCAATCTAAATGATCTATAGCAGCCATTCCCAAACTCAGTAACACCGAGGCCCCCTTAAAAATCTGACGGGTCTGCGTGGCCCCCCAAAATAATAACCAAGAAGACAACATTAAGAATAGGCTCTTCTGGTTATTTTATTTTGGGGAAATAGCCTCTGCTACAAACATTGTAATACAAAAATGATTACAGTGGATTATTCAAGTCAAATAATGAACACAAATATTTTAATATTACAAACAAAACATTATAAATTTAACATTAAATAATTATATAATTTTTTTATGACCTCCTGCGGCCCCCCTGCAGTACCCTCGCAGCCCACCAGGGGGCCGCGGACCCCACTTTGGGAGACACTGATCTATACCATCATGCTTTGCATCAGCCGTGCAGGGCCCAGACGGGCTCTATGCACCTGGAACAGTGTCCTCAGTGCAGCCCTGACATGTCACTGTCTCTGATGCTGCTTACAGCCCGGACACAGCTCAAAAAGGTTTCACCCACTTCCTGGTTTGTGTCTTAGCAAAATAACTCCGTTTCCAGCTTGTCCTCAGTTTGTAGTAAAACAATGCCTCTGTTTTAAACCCATCGTCTTCAGGACGTTCACAGTTTGGGACAGAGTCAGGACACGGGAACAGAGCAGATCGTACTCAGTCTTGAACCAATACTGTCATCTGCATGATGTACTTCTTTCTTTCTGCTTTAACCACCTCTAAAAACATGCACAGTAGGCATGGCCCGCACTGACCCTCGCCATGTGGAGATGGGGTCCTGAACATACACTGACGGAGGCTCTAGGCTCAAGGCCCAGTGTGACTGCAGCACGGCTCAGATGAAGGACACATGTCCCTATGGGGACGATACAGTATCACTTATTCTTCTAAGGAAGTTATTCAAGCCACTTTTCACAAACAGTTTAAACTACTGTGTGTTTCTCTAAATATTGGAGCCAACTTTATGTTTCACTCATTTTGTTTGAGGCCTACTCAAATAAACTTTTCCTTATCTTAATGTAACGTTTATTTGTCCCAGGTTAAAAAGAAAAGCCCAGAGAAATGTGCATTTAGACAACAACCCTTTACACTTAACTGTACAGTCCACATTAGTCTTTAATGGGGTTTTAAGTTCACCACCTTCTACAAAACAAGCCTCTGCCTCCTGTCGGAGCTGTAACCAGAGCGGACTCTTCTCTGAACAACATTTACACTCGACACTTGCAACGCGACACTTCTGTGAGTTTGGGGTCAACTAAATCACACACATTTGACACATCCAACGCTAAAACAAAGGGAGAAGAACAGTCGTGTATTTACCAAGGAAGAAAAAGTACAAACAATAAAACATGGCAGGCTTAGAAGAACTCACATGACAGGCATAAAGTCGTGAAGGCGGGTGTGTCTCTCTCTGATCCTTCAGCACTAGTCACTGAACGATGCCATCTCTACACTACATTTACTATGTAGAACTTAGCTCAGAAAGGGGTGGGGAAAGACCACCACAAAAAACAGCCCCTTTTCACATCATTTTTGCAGAGAATCAGCTCCAGTCTTTGGTGGGGACTTCTACTGCGGAGGCCATTAATGTGGAGCACAATACATGTGACAATGCAGCCTTTCCACCACGCTCTGCTGCTTTCAGCTGGATTCACAAAGCAACACACAGCATCTGAGTGTACACAACTACGATACAAGTTACACATACCTCTGTGGCGTCCGGCCGCGTTTACCTTAAAAACAGTTCTGTTTAGCTGTGCATACAACTGAGGGATTTTATATTTATATCTTTCTTGATGTTCTGTGATTATTTATGATTTTAAAGCTTTCTTATCAGCTATATTATTATATTTCAGTTGCCTTGTGTGTGAATTGTGCTATACATATAAACTTGCCTTTCCTTCTGTTTAAAAGGGAGAAGACATGTTTGGGCTCCTTTTATCTCCTGACGGCACTTTACGTAAAAATACACATTTTATTTCCAAATCTCAGACCATCCCAGGTCAAATAAGAGCCTTTGGGGAGCCACTTCTCTTTGTATACAAGGAAGAGATTAAATACATTTAATTTACAGCTCTGTTAAAGCAGATTACAGAGCTGTAAAAAGAGTTTGTTACATGGGGAGTCACCATCATAAAAGCCCCAGCACCAGTCAGGTCTGTGGAGACTGTGGGTCAGAGAGAGGCCTAGTGCTGGACCATGAGTCTGTAATACAAGTTTAATGATGAAGATGATGATGAAGAAGACTGGACACAGCCTTCATACCTTGATAGTCTTTGAGGGTTCTTATTAGAAAGAACCCTCAAAGACTCAAAGACCTACCCTTAAGAAATAATTCACTTTTTTAGATTTAATACCTTGATAGTATCGCAAGAGATGAAGTGGAGGAGAGAGCGTTGACAGAGGAGCAATCTGAGCCATCTACAAAAGGACAGAGGTCAATGTAAACTCAGTCACTTAAAACAACATGATCATAGAATAAAAAAAATATGAAGTTGACCATCATCGCTGCATGCATTCTCCTGCTCGTCGGGCAGGTCCTCTTCAGCCCCGTCCACCTGCATGTCACTGTCAGGGCTGGACACACACGTTTACGCTCACATGAATGAAACATACACTAAGAATGACCGTGGGGACTCACTCATGGATGGAGGCCGCTCCCACAGCACAATCTTCTGATGAGGAGGAGGAGGTGAGAGATGAGCGCGGCGAAGAGGCAGCTTCATCTTCTTTAGTTAGATGAATGGATGAGATCTGGTTTGTGACGGAGCCCACCAAGACCCCGGCTGAACCCAAACACAGAACAGGCTGAAACTATGATCCTTTTCACTTATTTAATTACAAAATCTACTCACCAGAATTTACGTCCAACGCAAGACCCTGAACCATGTGAGAGGCTTCTTGTTGTCCAGTTATATTTGGACTGACTTCATGACATTGTAGGTTGGTCACGACGTCTTGGGAATTATTATTATTATTAGCAATATCAGCAGTTTTACCCTGCTTCAGATAAAGAGAAGAACTGGACCTTTGTGTCTGAGGTTTGGAAGACTCCTCAATCTTACACTTTTCTTCGACTTTGGGGATTTTATTGATGGAACAGTCTGAGTGCGAAGCAGTGGCCGGTGACTTTGAAGGGTTAAGGCAAAGCGGCTGTGCAGAAGGCAGTGACGACAAGGACTCAACCTACAAAGTGAATGATGGAATAAAAACAACACACAAATAACACGACTGTTTATGTTTCAGCCAAACTCACCATGTTCCTGTTACTCCTTTGCAGAGTTGGTTTCCCTCGGATGAAAAGGTCCTGGTGAGCCACAGATAAGAGACGGCTGAGCTTTAGAGGAGCATCGCCGTGAGCCTCCGCACCACCACAGCTTTGGAGACAGTTTCCAGGGAGCTTCCGGCTTTTCTGCAGAGTAACAGCGACTTGGTTTTCTTTTTTGGGATTTGATTGTTTCGTTGCTCTTCCACTGGAATGTGGTGGGACTGAGGGCAAGTCTGGCACAGAGGTTGTTGGACTCTTGGCAGTAGGTTTGATCCTGTCCCCGCTCCCCACTTCTGCAGATTCCTTTACGTTTCTGACCGAAGAAGCATCTGTAGAATGATCCGAACAGCGCGGTTTGAACACATCCTTTCTCCTACTTTGATCTACACATGTTTGACTACAAGGCACTTTCGCAATCTTGGCATTTGTACTGACTGAGTTGGTGGTACAGTTAGCACCAGAAGAAGACAGGGGCTGGCTCCCACCCCAAGGGCAGGACTGGTTGGTGGGCATGACCGAGGCTTAAGGATGAACTCGACGTCCAAATGAAAGAAAAGGACAAGACCGAGCGTTTCCTCCAAACACAGCAGATTTATGTCAGCTCCAACAGGATCTTGGAAATACCTTCTGGATTGTTAAAGCTTGAGAAAAAGTTCTTGATACATGTTGATTGAGAGCAGTCATAATTGCAAACGCATTAGTCGCCCAATAACTCAGCAAGCAAACATCTTCACTGCAGTTGGAATCCAATGTTCAGGCGTTTACGTTCGTCCCAATAATGAAAGCTCATTAAGACTCATGAAGGACCGTCTTTCCTTTTATTCAGCCGCACAAAGACTTCATCTCATGTTGATGGAGAGGGCAGATAATAACCTTTCCTTAGTTATTCTGACTCTACGGGCTTCTTTCACCTCTGCAACACAGAACAGACAGAATGAGATCATAATACAAACTTTTATTTTAGATTTCAGCTTAAAGCGTCTTGTGAAACGTCAGAATCTATCTTTTACAGACTGTCAGCTGATTGGCTCAAACAGTTCAGAGACAGAGACAGAGAAAAAGCGGATCTTGACGTGAGGCCAAAAACACATGAAAACTTTGGATAGAAGCAAACAGATCTGAGAGCGAGGAACTAGTGAGATGATCATCTTTGTGAGGTGTCAAAGTCGCTATAACTTTGACATCTCACTACTTCACTTTATCTACTGTACCATACTCTACTCTACTACCCTAACCCTACCCCAATCTACTCTACTCTATTGTGTTTTTCCTTTGCACTTTATTAAAGATGGTAGAGACTGTCTTGGACATTCCCTGCTTCACTTTGGGACTTTAAAGGAGGTTTGATTGACTTCCTCTTTCTGCCATGCGTCTCGTCACAACTGCAGCTGAAAGAAGTCACAGAAAACACATTTAGAGCAGATTTAGAGAAATACAGTGAAGTGAAAGTCAGCGCAATCATCTTGGAATCGTGGATGTCAGAAAGAGAAACATCTACATCTACATCTACCTGCCAAAACAATTTCCAAGTGGTGACTTCTGTTACTTACGTGGCAATAAGAATGATTCTGATTCTGGAACCTGCAGCTGTTCAGCGCGACACACGCTGTTAGCCGTTAGCTTAGCAACAGCCCAACAGAGCCGCGGGCCACACGGAAACACAACCATCTGCACGAACATAACAACAGGTCCATGGCATAAACACACCTCCTCTGGCAGTCTCCACACGGATGATCATGTCCCTGTGAGTGGGTGATCCTCGGGGTGCACTTTGACTTTAACCCGTCAGATTCGCGGCTGATAGAAAGTGGATGATGCAGAGATCGTTTATGCAGCAGACATCTCACTACAGTGTGGGTTTCCTCCGAGCGAGTCCTGAGCAGACAGCTCCCTCTAGCGGTGACTAATGGTGAAGACACGCGCATTCTGGTGACCTTGTGCACGCCTGGCATCATGGATCTGTTATATTAACTGGCCTCCACAACATAGACTGTAAATACTAATCTCCTAAAGTGGGTTAAAGGGGGGCATGGGGAGGCCCGGGTGATTCACTATGGACAGATTAGATTCATACAATATATTTAGTTAGATAGCTGGATAACTAAAGTAAAGTAAATTAAAAACAACACGTAAACACAGGAGTCCTAGAGGTTCCACACAACACAAATGATTTCTGAAGTCTGCAGTATATTCATTTAACATTAATAAATTTGTGAATCAATGAATGAATAGAGCCTTGATGAAGCGTCAGAATGTTTTATCCTGCTCTAAGATAACCTAGTCTAAGATACCCTGGCTCTCTGATGAGCCTGTGGTGCCAATGCTCATGAACCAGAATGTGATAAATACTTTGATAGAGGTGAGTAACCTTTTGAAAATCTCAAGCTTGCAGACTAGTTTTAGACATGTGTAAATACAAGTCATTTTGAGTCTAATGTTTAGTCAAGTAACAGAACTCACACCTCAGTAAAAGTTCTGGATAGCCTCTGCAGGCCCTAACTCTAACTCTTAATAAAAGTGAGGGCTATCATTATGACAACAACTAATACTTTTTTATTTATTATTTGAAAACGTCAGAACCTGTGCATCTTCTTATGCATGGGGGATCCAAGTTGGGTCTGGACCAGAGTGGACCCCAGAGGGACACAAAGCTGGGGGTCATGAGATGATTCCAAAAATATATGATCTGTTTTTATGTTTACCTATATAAAAAAAAAAGAAATGGCAATAATTCAAAGTACAGTAATAATTATGCATATGAACATAATTAACCTTTTTATACATTATTATACTTATTAGTGTCACTGCATAATTGTTATATGTTTCTTTTTCAGACCTTCAAAGCCACTTGACTGAACAGGCTGCAGCTGCATTAATACAAATTATTATTGTGAAATTACAGCTTAAAAATGACCACAAAACACAAACATCATATTCATACTTTTTCCAACATATTCAGTACAGTTCCTCACATATATATATATATATTATCCTGTTATATATTGTCTCTGCCTCTCATTCTTTCCTTTCTGTTTCTGGCCGTGGCGAGTTGGTGCTCGCAGACGGACGGAGCAGGAGTCAGAGTGGGAGGAACATTTGGAGAGAGAGGGAGTGGAGCAGATAAAGTGAGGAGGGAGGAAGAGCAGAGCAGACTGGAGCTCAGCACAGCACCAGCACTTTAAAGCTCTGGACACTTCTTTAACACATTCATCTCACTTTTCTCTGGATAAAGATGGATTATTTGGATATTTAAGACACTTTTTTTGACTTATCGGAAGGAAACATCAGCAAGACAACTCTGGCAATAATATTTTTGTGTCAATCTAGCACTAGTCACAGCACAATTGAAACGTTTTCTTCTTAAAAACGTTTGTAATTCAAAGTTATATCCAAATATAACATATTGATTAGTTCAGTTTTACCAAATTTACTTAAGACAATGCACCAAGTCTGAAGTGAAACCAGGACGGGACAGATTTCTTACAGATTGACAAAACTAGAGAGTGTTCCAGTAGGCATCATGGAGCTCCGCGGTCTCTGGGTGTCCTCTCTGCTGCTCCTGGCTCTGCAGACTCTGGTGGTGGTCCCGGCTGGGTCTCTGGCTCTGGGGCGGTTGGAGCGATGGGTCCGGTCTGGACTTCAGTCTCTGCAGTGGAACCAGCTGAACCGGTGTCTGCGGACGTCTGGCATGTCTGAGGCGGAGTGCAGGAGGCTGTCCCATCTCCCGCTGTCCTCTGTGGCCGTGTACGTGTCCGAGCCTCCGACTGCAGCAGGTCAGACCCTTCTCATACTTTCATTCATCAGAGATTATCTGGAGAAAAGTCTGTTTGCTGTGTGTGGGTTTCAAACAAGTATTATTATTATTAACCTTTATTATGGACACAGTACAATACAGTCCATAGTTAAAAGTGTATATATGCCCTACTTGTAATGTTGTCGAGAGTTTGACTGAAATTCTTTTTGTCATTAATATTTTATAGTAATTCTCTGCCGTGGCACATTGGTTAGTTCCACACTCTCTCATGAACAATGTCTCACCACGGTATCTACAAATTAAGATTCTTATTGTAAAACATGTAATAAATTCACATTGGTCATTGTTTACAGGGCTCTTTAAGAATCGATCGAGTCATCACTTATGTCCAAGTCCACAAAAAGTCCCCAAATCTCCTCAAAAACATGTTTTACTGAATTTCAAAAATCTTCTCAGCTAATTTTATATTTATGATACAATATTAGTGTAAATCATCTCATGTTTAATGACCAAAGGCTCTTTTACATATTATTGTGAGTTACAACAGTTGGATTTCAGCTTATAAGTGCTGAACAGACAGAGAAAAAAACCCAATACAAATACAGAAATATATATAAAAACCTTGTCTCTTTCTCCCTGGGATTAAAAGCCAAAGAGAAAAGGTGCGTCTTCAGCAGGGATTTGAACTGTGGACACCTCAAAGCCCTCCATGGGTTTGAATCTCCCTTTGTTTTGTTGATTAAAATACTTGGTTTTGATCATAATAATAACTAACATGGAACAGTGTGTGCTTAACGAGTCAATATGAACAGTTACAATGTATTTTCCCACATGTATGTTTTGTGTTCTGGGCCCGCAATAAGCCGCCATTTTCAATTAACTGAATCAATTCTAATAAATATACATTCTTAGGCTCTTCGGACAAGGTGGTGGCCGTTCTCCCCGACACCTCGGTACCGCTGGGTCACAAACCTCGGGGCAGCTACAGTGGGCTGAACGCAGGCTCCCACAGACACCAGGCCTTCCCCAGCTCCACGGCCCATGATGCAGTGCTGCTGCTAGACCCAAGTCCAGGGGAGAACTTTGGACACCCGGTGGTTCTGTTCTATGTGGACCTGAACGTGACCAAGAAGAGGTGCTCCCATTTAGACGGCATTTACCTGGGTGAGTCCACAACAACAACAATCATACCGTGAGATTAGATTAGATGAGATTATGCAAAAGACAGAAGTGTGAAACTCATTGACTGCCATTGACGTATTTGCCTGAGGCCCTCTGTTCCACTGCGGATTCCAGGAGAATAAAAACAGCTAGAAACAAACTTTTTTTTGCTAATGAAAGTAGAGAATCCAGTCTTTCAGAATCTGGTTTCATTTTTCACACAGTCTTAGGAAATAATATTCTGTGGGTCTTGAGAATCAGTGAGATCATCAAAAACGGCTGCAGTCAATGAGATAAAGGCAAAAAATACAGTCTGTTCAGGATATACTGGTAAATGCATTGGTATAAAACTATAAAACTGCAGTAAGTAAGTATTTAAAGGTTATTTATATAGCGCCAGTCACAGATCAGAGTCACAAAGTTTTAGTTGTGGGTATTTGTCCTCTCGGTCCTCACAGACGGGAGCGTGGTCCCCGTGCAGGAGGTGGACGCCATTTTAACTTTCACTCAGAAATAACAATAACTACATCTGTGTGAAAGTATAACAGTGTATGTGCTGGGCTGTGCTGGGCTGTGCTGGGCCAAACTCTTAGCCCTGATAATTGATTAGTGAATTTAATATGAGGTGCAACATATACTATAAAGACTGTACAAAAGTGAATTAATGCAACAAGAAGGTTTTAGGAATAAGAATAAAATCACTGACATATTAATGGCTCATACAAAAATATAAAGTGATTGAAATAAAATAATCAGTCATTTAATTCAACATTTGGTCACAGAAGTACTGCTTAGATCCACTGAACTATTAAAGACAGCCCTCGTGTCTGTCACTGATGATGCTAACTTGGATAAAAACCATAAGAATTGTTTTATAATCGAACAGAATAATCCTCTTTCTTCTTCATTTTGATCCGAGCTTTACATCGTGCTCCATCCTCTTCTCTCCAAAGTGCTTCAGACAAACGTTGGCAGCCTCTGCGTCTCTCTGTGTTTGTCTCCTGGGGTTTTATTTGTGGTAAAAAGAAAGGTGCAGAAAGTGAAAGTGTGCGCAGACCTTTTAAATCTCCATTTTTAGATCATTGTCGGATGTGGGGCATGTTCTGGCTCAGAGCGAGGACGACACCATCTCCTCTGAACAGACTTTAGGACTCGGGTATTCCTTCCACTTCATGTACACACACACACACACACACACACACACACACACACACACTTCACATACACACACACAAACACATACACAATTACACACACACACATTCACATACATCCACTTCACACACACACACACAGGAGTATGACCAACTCAAGGATCCTGTCTAAGAATAGCTTTGTTGCGTCTGCATTTTCATATTTGACTACTTTTTATAGAAGATTGGTATTTTTTAAAATTTTCTGAGATTGCATTTTTCTTCCTAGGGTTGAATTAATTAAAATAATAGCAATTTGTATATGTTTTAATGACCTGATTTAAATTGTAATGTTTTAACTAATTATTTCTATATTGTACTGTGATGGCATTTTACCCTTTGCCTCTGACCACAGTGGTACATTAGCTGTTAGCTAAAACATTAGCTGTTAGCTAAAACTGACACATTTACAGTAATGTGGATTAATGTGTACCGTCCCTATTCAAACTAATAAATAGATAAAACGTGGAGGATCGTGAATGCTTTAATCCTCACTCAGAAAGGTCTTAATGAAGTACCAGATGTGGAGGTGCTGTAACCTGCCTCCTGCTAAATGAACACACACCTGTCAATTATTAACACACACTCACACACACACGTACACACACATACACATACACACACACACACACAGACACACACACACACACACACACAATGAGCCTGGACCCAGTTTAACCCATCATCAGAGAAAGAATGAGGAAAGGATTCACTCCAGGGACAGAGATGCTTTTTACCTCCAGCTTTGACCCCAGCAAACACATTTAACTTTCTTTTTTAACCTTTAACATGTTCCACACTTCTGTCTTTTGCACAATCTGAGTGACTCTGTCTGTAGCTAGTGCCGTGTTCTTTGGGGCCACGTGTTGGGGGCAGTCTGTAGCTAGTGCCGTGTTCTTTGGGGCCACGTGTTGGGGTCAGTCTGTAGCTAGTGCCGTGTTCTTTGGGGTTGCGTGTTGGGGGCAGTCTGTAGCTAGTGCCGTGTTCTTTGGGGCCACGTGTTGGGGTCAGTCTGTAGCTAGTGCCGTGTTCTTTGGGGCCACGTGTTGGGGGCAGTCTGTAGCTAGTGCCGTGTTCTTTGGGGTCACGTGTTGGGGTCAGTCTGTAGCTAGTGCCGTGTTCTTTGGGGCCACGTGTTGGGGTCAGTCTGTAGCTAGTGCCGTGTTCTTTGGGGTTGCGTGTTGGGGGCAGTCTGTAGCTAGTGCCGTGTTCTTCAGGGTCACGTGTTGGGGTCAGTCTGTAGCTAGTGCCGTGTTCTTTGGGGCCACGTGTTGGGGTCAGTCTGTAGCTAGTGCCGTGTTCTTTGGGGTTGCGTGTTGGGGGCAGTCTGTAGCTAGTGCCGTGTTCTTCAGGGTCACGTGTTGGGGGCAGTCTGTAGCTAGTGCCGTGTTCTTTGGGGCCACGTGTTGGGGTCAGTCTGTAGCTAGTGCCGTGTTCTTTGGGGTTGCGTGTTGGGGGCAGTCTGTAGCTAGTGCCGTGTTCTTCAGGGTCACGTGTTGGGGTCAGTCTGTAGCTAGTGCCGTGTTCTTTGGGGCCACGTGTTGGGGTCAGTCTGTAGCTAGTGCCGTGTTCTTTGGGGTTGCGTGTTGGGGGAGTCTGTAGCTAGTGCCGTGTTCTTCAGGGTCACGTGTTGGGGGCAGTCTGTAGCTAGTGCCGTGTTCTTCAGGGTCACGTGTTGGGGTCAGTCTGTAGCTAGTGCCGTGTTCTTTGGGGTCACGTGTTGGGGTCAGTCTGTAGCTAGTGCCGTGTTCTTTGGGGTTGCGTGTTGGGGTCAGTCTGTAGCTAGTGCCGTGTTCTTTGGGGTTGCGTGTTGGGGGCAGTCTGTAGCTAGTGCCGTGTTCTTTGGGGCCACGTGTTGGGGTCAGTCTGTAGCTAGTGCCGTGTTCTTTGGGGTCACGTGTTGGGGTCAGTCTGTAGCTAGTGCCGTGTTCTTTGGGGTCACGTGTTGGGGTCAGTCTGTAGCTAGTGCCGTGTTCTTTGTGGTCAGTCTGTAGCTAGTGCCGTGTTCTTTGGGGTCACGTGTTGGGGTCAGTCTGTAGCTAGTGCCGTGTTCTTCAGGGTCACGTGTTGGGGTCAGTCTGTAGCTAGTGCCGTGTTCTTTGGGGCCACGTGTTGGGGTCAGTCTGTAGCTAGTGCCGTGTTCTTTGGGGTCTCGTGTTGGGGTCAGTCTGTAGCTAGTGCCGTGTTCTTTGGGGCCACGTGTTGGGGTCAGTCTGTAGCTAGTGCCGTGTTCTTTGGGGTCACGTGTTGGGGTCAGTCTGTAGCTAGTGCCGTGTTCTTTGGGGTCACGTGTTGGGGTCAGTCTGTAGCTAGTGCCGTGTTCTTCAGGGTCACGTGTTGGGGTCAGTCTGTAGCTAGTGCCGTGTTCTTTGGGGTTGTGTGTTGGGGTCAGTCTGTAGCTAGTGCCGTGTTCTTCAGGGTCACGTGTTGGGGTCAGTCTGTAGCTAGTGCCGTGTTCTTTGGGGTCAGTCTGTAGCTAGTGCCGTGTTCTTTGGGGTCACGTGTTGGGGTCAGTCTGTAGCTAGTGCCGTGTTCTTCAGGGTCACGTGTTGGGGTCAGTCTGTAGCTAGTGCCGTGTTCTTTGGGGTCACGTGTTGGGGTCAGTCTGTAGCTAGTGCCGTGTTCTTCAGGGTCACGTGTTGGGGTCAGTCTGTAGCTAGTGCCGTGTTCTTTGGGGTTGTGTGTTGGGGTCAGTCTGTAGCTAGTGCCGTGTTCTTCAGGGTCACGTGTTGGGGTCAGTCTGTAGCTAGTGCCGTGTTCTTTGGGGTCAGTCTGTAGCTAGTGCCGTGTTCTTTGGGGTCGCGTGTTGGGGTCAGTCTGTAGCTAGTGCCGTGTTCTTCAGGGTCACGTGTTGGGGTCAGTCTGTAACTAGTGCCGTGTTCTTTGGGGTCACGTGTTGGGGTCAGTCTGTAGCTAGTGCCGTGTTCTTTGGGGTCACGTGTTGGGGTCAGTCTGTAGCTAGTGCCGTGTTCTTTGGGGTTGCGTGTTGGGGTCAGTCTGTAGCTAGTGCCGTGTTCTTTGGGGTCACGTGTTGGGGTCAGTCTGTAGCTAGTGCCGTGTTCTTCAGGGTCACGTGTTGGGGTCAGTCTGTAGCTAGTGCCGTGTTCTTCAGGGTCACGTGTTGGGGTCAGTCTGTAGCTAGTGCCGTGTTCTTTGGGGTCAGTCTGTAGCTAGTGCCGTGTTCTTTGGGGTCACGTGTTGGGGTCAGTCTGTAGCTAGTGCCGTGTTCTTTGGGGTTGCGTGTTGGGGTCAGTCTGTAGCTAGTGCCGTGTTCTTTGGGGTTGCGTGTTGGGGGCAGTCTGTAGCTAGTGCCGTGTTCTTCAGGGTCACGTGTTGGGGTCAGTCTGTAGCTAGTGCCGTGTTCTTTGGGGTCAGTCTGTAGCTAGTGCCGCGTTCTTTGGGGTCACGTGTTGGGGTCAGTCTGTAGCTAGTGCCGTGTTCTTTGGGGCCACGTGTTGGGGTCAGTCTGTAGCTAGTGCCGTGTTCTTTGGGGTCAAGTGTTGGGGTCAGTCTGTAGCTAGTGCCGTGTTCTTTGGGGTCAAGTGTTGGGGTCAGTCTGTAGCTAGTGCCGTGTTCTTTGGGGTCGCGTGTTTGGGTCAGTCTGTAGCTAGTGCCGTGTTCTTTGGGGTCACGTGTTGGGGTCAGTCTGTAGCTAGTGCCGTGTTCTTTGGGGTCGCGTGTTGGGGTCAGTCTGTAGCTAGTGCCGTGTTCTTCAGGGTCACGTGTTGGGGTCAGTCTGTAGCTAGTGCCGTGTTCTTTGGGGTCACGTGTTGGGGTCAGTCTGTAGCTAGTGCCGTGTTCTTTGGGGTTGCGTGTTGGGGGCAGTCTGTAGCTAGTGCCGTGTTCTTTGGGGTCACGTGTTGGGGTCAGTCTGTAGCTAGTGCCGTGTTCTTTGGGGTCACGTGTTGGGGTCAGTTTGTAGCTAGTGCCGTGTTCTTCAGGGTCACGTGTTGGGGTCAGTCTGTAGCTAGTGCCGTGTTCTTTGGGGTCACGTGTTGGGGTTAGTTTGTAGCTAGTGCCGTGTTCTTCAGGGTCACGTGTTGGGGTCAGTCTGTAGCTAGTGCCGTGTTCTTCAGGGTCACGTGTTGGGGTCAGTCTGTAGCTAGTGCCGTGTTCTTTGGGGTCAGTTTGTAGCTAGTGCCGTGTTCTTTGGGGTCAGTCTGTAGCTAGTGCCGTGTTCTTTGGGGTCACGTGTTGGGGTCAGTCTGTAGCTAGTGCCGTGTTCTTTGGGGTCACGTGTTGGGGTCAGTTTGTAGCTAGTGCCGTGTTCTTTGGGGTCAGTCTGTAGCTAGTGCCGTGTTCTTTGGGGTCACGTGTTGGGGTCAGTCTGTAGCTAGTGCCGTGTTCTTTGGGGTCAGTCTGTAGCTAGTGCCGTGTTCTTTGGGGTCAGTCTGTAGCTAGTGCCGTGTTCTTTGGGGTCACGTGTTGGGGTCAGTCTGTAGCTAGTGCCGTGTTCTTTGGGGTCACGTGTTGGGGTCAGTCTGTAGCTAGTGCCGTGTTCTTTGGGGTTGCGTGTTGGGGTCAGTCTGTAGCTAGTGCCGTGTTCTTTGGGGTTGCGTGTTGGGGGCAGTCTGTAGCTAGTCCCGTGTTCTTCAGGGTCACGTGTTGGGGTCAGTCTGTAGCTAGTGCCGTGTTCTTTGGGGTCAGTTTGTAGCTAGTGCCGCGTTCTTTGGGGTCACGTGTTGGGGTCAGTCTGTAGCTAGTGCCGTGTTCTTTGGGGCCACGTGTTGGGGTCAGTCTGTAGCTAGTGCCGTGTTCTTTGGGGTCAAGTGTTGGGGTCAGTCTGTAGCTAGTGCCGTGTTCTTTGGGGTCGCGTGTTTGGGTCAGTCTGTAGCTAGTGCCGTGTTCTTTGGGTTCACGTGTTGGGGTCAGTCTGTAGCTAGTGCCGTGTTCTTTGGGGTCGCGTGTTGGGGTCAGTCTGTAGCTAGTGCCGTGTTCTTCAGGGTCACGTGTTGGGGTCAGTCTGTAGCTAGTGCCGTGTTCTTTGGGGTCACGTGTTGGGGTCAGTCTGTAGCTAGTGCCGTGTTCTTTGGGGTCACGTGTTGGGGTCAGTCTGTAGCTAGTGCCGTGTTCTTTGGGGTTGCGTGTTGGGGTCAGTCTGTAGCTAGTGCCGTGTTCTTTGGGGTTGCGTGTTGGGGGCAGTCTGTAGCTAGTGCCGTGTTCTTTGGGGTCACGTGTTGGGGTCAGTCTGTAGCTAGTGCCGTGTTCTTTGGGGTTGCGTGTTGGGGTCAGTCTGTAGCTAGTGCCGTGTTCTTTGGGGCCACGTGTTGGGGTCAGTCTGTAGCTAGTGCCGTGTTCTTTGGGGTCACGTGTTGGGGTCAGTCTGTAGCTAGTGCCGTGTTCTTTGGGGTCACGTGTTGGGGTCAGTCTGTAGCTAGTGCCGTGTTCTTCAGGGTCACGTGTTGGGGTCAGTCTGTAGCTAGTGCCGTGTTCTTTGGGGTTGTGTGTTGGGGTCAGTCTGTAGCTAGTGCCGTGTTCTTTGGGGTCAGTCTGTAGCTAGTGCCGTGTTCTTCAGGGTCACGTGTTGGGGTCAGTCTGTAGCTAGTGCCGTGTTCTTTGGGGTCAGTCTGTAGCTAGTGCCGTGTTCTTTGGGGTTGCGTGTTGGGGTCAGTCTGTAGCTAGTGCCGTGTTCTTCAGGGTCACGTGTTGGGGTCAGTCTGTAGCTAGTGCCGTGTTCTTTGGGGTCACGTGTTGGGGTCAGTCTGACCTCAGAGACAGTAACCGGCTCAGGCGGATCAGGAAATGTGTCTCTGTGATGGGGAGAAGGGGCTCTACTGCAGGGCATCCTGGGTAATTCCAGACACCATCTGCATGACATTATGGTCGCTCAGAGGAGTAACCGAGGCAACAGGCTCCTATCACTGCGCTGCCGAACGGAACGTTTCAAGAGATCCTTTGTTCCTTCGGCTGTCAGACTGTACAACAAACCTGGATGAGTCTTCTGCTGCTGGACACCTGGATTTCTCCTACGGGGATCATTAAAGTATCTTATCTTTACAACCAATATGGAATCCACACAGACACACAACCACAGCAGGAGACTGAAGCTTGCTGTGTCTTTAGGGGAGGAGTGTCTGACTTTGGCGCTGAAAGGGCAGTGCCAGAACCAGCTGAAGCGTCGCCTTCGAGCCGGGATCATCAGTGGATCCAGTCGGACGGTGGAGCGGACCATCGGGGGGCTCTGTGAGGTCCACTTCCTCCCACTGGTGGTCAGTGAGTTAGACAACAACCACACCCAGAGACTGACATGTGTGGGTAAGTCCAAACACAAAGTGATGATGGCTTATTTATGTTCTTATTGTTCAGGACAAAGACCCACCAGCGATAAACAAACATTTGCCGACATCTGGAAATCCTTTCATTTGAAAATATCAGTTTATTTAGAGTTGTTATTGTTTTGTTATGAAAGAGTCAAAGACACACATCTGTGTGTGTCTGTTTAACACATTTCCAGTCTGCAGACCTTTGGTTTCAATATTCAATTAGCAAAGACATTTTCTAATGGGTCTAGTCCGTTCCACAAATGAAAGGATCAAAGGCAAAAACAGGATCATAGTATTAGTCACATTTGGTTGTAAAACCTTAAATACTTGATTGTTACATCGTAGAATGATTCTCATCTTGTGCCAACAGTGTGTCAGGCCCCGGGGCCCCTGGGGCTGTAACTGAAACTGTTTACAAGGATTCAGTTTTTCCACAGAGTTTTAAACATCCACCAACAGCCTCAATTATGCTCAAATTTAATGTCCCATATCTTTTAACACATTACTTTATACTCCTTTTGGTGAACATGGCTGCTGTCCTCAGATCACACAGAGTTTGCACCGTGCCCTCGGCCCCTGCCCCTGGGACCCCCCAGTGTCCCGGCCCCCAGCCTCCCGGCCCCCAGCTGTGAGCTCAACAAAAACACTCGCCGCTGTCATCAGCAGCCTCTGGCCACACATCTGTCCTGCCGCCTCTACCAGACCTGTGACCACGCCCTGCTCCTGTCAGGTACAGGCACTTTACCGACCAAACATACAGGCACTTTACAAACCAAACATACAGGCACTTTACAAACCAAACATACAGGCACTTTACCGACCAAACATACAGGCACTTTACAAACCAAACATACAGGCACTTTACCGACCAAACATACAGGCACTTTACAGACCAAACATACAGGCACTTTACAAACCAAACATACAGGCACTTTACCGACCAAACATACAGGCACTTTACCGACCAAACATACAGGCACTTTACCGACCAAACATACAGGCACTTTACAAACCAAACATACAGGCACTTTACAGACCAAACATACAGGCACTTTACAGACCAAACATACAGGCACTTTACAGACCAAACATACAGGCACTTTACAGACCAAACATACAGGCACTTTACAGACCAAACATACAGGCACTTTACCGACCAAACATACAGGCACTTTACAGACCAAACATACAGGCACTTTACAGACCAAACATACAGGCACTTTACCGACCAAACATACAGGCACTTTACAAACCAAACATACAGGCACTTTACAGACCAAACATACAGGCACTTTACAGACCAAACATACAGGCACTTTACAGACCAAACATACAGGCACTTTACAGACCAAACATACAGGCACTTTACAAACCAAACATACAGGCACTTTACAAACCAAACATACAGGCACTTTACAAACCAAACATACAGGCACTTTACCGACCAAACATACAGGCACTTTACCGACCAAACATACAGGCACTTTACAGACCAAACATACAGGCACTTTACAGACCAAACATACAGGCACTTTACAGACCAAACATACAGGCACTTTACAAACCAAACATACAGGCACTTTACAAACCAAACATACAGGCACTTTACAAACCAAACATACAGGCACTTTACAAACCAAACATACAGGCACTTTACAAACCAAACATACAGGCACTTTACCGACCAAACATACAGGCACTTTACAGACCAAACATACAGGCACTTTACAAACCAAACATACAGGCACTTTACCGACCAAACATACAGGCACTTTACCGACCAAACATACAGGCACTTTACCGACCAAACATACAGGCACTTTACAAACCAAACATACAGGCACTTTACAGACCAAACATACAGGCACTTTACAGACCAAACATACAGGCACTTTACAGACCAAACATACAGGCACTTTACAGACCAAACATACAGGCACTTTACAGACCAAACATACAGGCACTTTACAAACCAAACATACAGGCACTTTACAAACCAAACATACAGGCACTTTACAAACCAAACATACAGGCACTTTACCGACCAAACATACAGGCACTTTACCGACCAAACATACAGGCACTTTACAGACCAAACATACAGGCACTTTACAGACCAAACATACAGGCACTTTACAGACCAAACATACAGGCACTTTACAAACCAAACATACAGGCACTTTACAAACCAAACATACAGGCACTTTACAAACCAAACATACAGGCACTTTACAAACCAAACATACAGGCACTTTACAAACCAAACATACAGGCACTTTACCGACCAAACATACAGGCACTTTACAGACCAAACATACAGGCACTTTACCGACCAAACATACAGGCACTTTACAAACCAAACATACAGGCACTTTACAAACCAAACATACAGGCACTTTACAGACCAAACATACAGGCACTTTACAGACCAAACATACAGGCACTTTACAGACCAAACATACAGGCACTTTACAGACCAAACATACAGGCACTTTACAAACCAAACATACAGGCACTTTACAGACCAAACATACAGGCACTTTACAAACCAAACATACAGGCACTTTACCGACCAAACATACAGGCACTTTACAAACCAAACATACAGGCACTTTACAGACCAAACATACAGGCACTTTACAGACCAAACATACAGGCACTTTACAGACCAAACATACAGGCACTTTACAGACCAAACATACAGGCACTTTACAGACCAAACATACAGGCACTTTACAAACCAAACATACAGGCACTTTACAAACCAAACATACAGGCACTTTACCGACCAAACATACAGGCACTTTACCGACCAAACATACAGGCACTTTACAGACCAAACATACAGGCACTTTACAGACCAAACATACAGGCACTTTACAGACCAAACATACAGGCACTTTACAAACCAAACATACAGGCACTTTACAAACCAAACATACAGGCACTTTACAAACCAAACATACAGGCACTTTACAAACCAAACATACAGGCACTTTACAAACCAAACATACAGGCACTTTACCGACCAAACATACAGGCACTTTACAGACCAAACATACAGGCACTTTACAAACCAAACATACAGGCACTTTACCGACCAAACATACAGGCACTTTACCGACCAAACATACAGGCACTTTACCGACCAAACATACAGGCACTTTACAAACCAAACATACAGGCACTTTACAGACCAAACATACAGGCACTTTACAGACCAAACATACAGGCACTTTACAGACCAAACATACAGGCACTTTACAGACCAAACATACAGGCACTTTACCGACCAAACATACAGGCACTTTACAAACCAAACATACAGGCACTTTACAGACCAAACATACAGGCACTTTACAGACCAAACATACAGGCACTTTACAGACCAAACATACAGGCACTTTACAGACCAAACATACAGGCACTTTACAAACCAAACATACAGGCACTTTACAAACCAAACATACAGGCACTTTACAAACCAAACATACAGGCACTTTACCGACCAAACATACAGACACTTTACCGACCAAACATACAGGCACTTTACAGACCAAACATACAGGCACTTTACAGACCAAACATACAGGCACTTTACAGACCAAACATACAGGCACTTTACAGACCAAACATACAGGCACTTTACAAACCAAACATACAGGCACTTTACAGACCAAACATACAGGCACTTTACAGACCAAACATACAGGCACTTTACAAACCAAACATACAGGCACTTTACAAACCAAACATACAGGCACTTTACAAACCAAACATACAGGCACTTTACAAACCAAACATACAGGCACTTTACAAACCAAACATACAGGCACTTTACCGACCAAACATACAGGCACTTTACAGACCAAACATACAGGCACTTTACCGACCAAACATACAGGCACTTTACAAACCAAACATACAGGCACTTTACAAACCAAACATACAGGCACTTTACAAACCAAACATACAGGCACTTTACAGACCAAACATACAGGCACTTTACAGACCAAACATACAGGCACTTTACAGACCAAACATACAGGCACTTTACAGACCAAACATACAGGCACTTTACAGACCAAACATACAGGCACTTTACAAACCAAACATACAGGCACTTTACAAACCAAACATACAGGCACTTTACAGACCAAACATACAGGCACTTTACAGACCAAACATACAGGCACTTTACAGACCAAACATACAGGCACTTTACAGACCAAACATACAGGCACTTTACAAACCAAACATACAGGCACTTTACAAACCAAACATACAGGCACTTTACAGACCAAACATACAGGCACTTTACAGACCAAACATACAGGCACTTTACAGACCAAACATACAGGCACTTTACAGACCAAACATACAGGCACTTTACAGACCAAACATACAGGCACTTTACAGACCAAACATACAGGCACTTTACAGACCAAACATACAGGCACTTTACAAACCAAACATACAGGCACTTTACCGACCAAACATACAGGCACTTTACAGACCAAACATACAGGCACTTTACAGACCAAACATACAGGCACTTTACAGACCAAACATACAGGCACTTTACAGACCAAACATACAGGCACTTTACAGACCAAACATACAGGCACTTTACAAACCAAACATACAGGCACTTTACAGACCAAACATACAGGCACTTTACAGACCAAACATACAGGCACTTTACCGACCAAACATACAGGCACTTTACAGACCAAACATACAGGCACTTTACAGACCAAACATACAGGCACTTTACAAACCAAACATACAGGCACTTTACCGACCAAACATACAGGCACTTTACAAACCAAACATACAGGCACTTTACAGACCAAACATACAGGCACTTTACAGACCAAACATACAGGCACTTTACAGACCAAACATACAGGCACTTTACAGACCAAACATACAGGCACTTTACAAACCAAACATACAGGCACTTTACCGACCAAACATACAGGCACTTTACCGACCAAACATACAGGCACTTTACCGACCAAACATACAGGCACTTTACAGACCAAACATACAGGCACTTTACAGACCAAACATACAGGCACTTTACAGACCAAACATACAGGCACTTTACAGACCAAACATACAGGCACTTTACAGACCAAACATACAGGCACTTTACAGACCAAACATACAGGCACTTTACAGACCAAACATACAGGCACTTTACAGACCAAACATACAGGCACTTTACAAACCAAACATACAGGCACTTTACCGACCAAACATACAGGCACTTTACCGACCAAACATACAGGCACTTTACCGACCAAACATACAGGCACTTTACAGACCAAACATACAGGCACTTTACAGACCAAACATACAGGCACTTTACAGACCAAACATACAGGCACTTTACAAACCAAACATACAGGCACTTTACAAACCAAACATACAGGCACTTTACAAACCAAACATACAGGCACTTTACAAACCAAACATACAGGCACTTTACAGACCAAACATACAGGCACTTTACAAACCAAACATACAGGCACTTTACAAACCAAACATACAGGCACTTTACAGACCAAACATACAGGCACTTTACAGACCAAACATACAGGCACTTTACAGACCAAACATACAGGCACTTTACCGACCAAACATACAGGCACTTTACCGACCAAACATACAGGCACTTTACAGACCAAACATACAGGCACTTTACAGACCAAACATACAGGCACTTTACAGACCAAACATACAGGCACTTTACAAACCAAACATACAGGCACTTTACAAACCAAACATACAGGCACTTTACAGACCAAACATACAGGCACTTTACAGACCAAACATACAGGCACTTTACAGACCAAACATACAGGCACTTTACAAACCAAACATACAGGCACTTTACAAACCAAACATACAGGCACTTTACAGACCAAACATACAGGCACTTTACAGACCAAACATACAGGCACTTTACAAACCAAACATACAGGCACTTTACAAACCAAACATACAGGCACTTTACAAACCAAACATACAGGCACTTTACAGACCAAACATACAGGCACTTTACAAACCAAACATACAGGCACTTTACAGACCAAACATACAGGCACTTTACAGACCAAACATACAGGCACTTTACAGACCAAACCGTGTCATAAAGAGGTTTATGTATTTAGGTACGTATACATAAAAAAATTAAATTTTACATCCAACCATCCATCTTCTTCCCCTTAATCCATTTCTGGGTCGGGGGTGGCAGTCAGAGCACCAGCCCCTCACTGAGCCTCCTGCAGGTGCTGAGTCCACAGGAAGATGGCTGCTCTGTCAGTGACGATAAAGCCTTGATTGCAATTTTACAAATTTTTCAAAATCCCTACGGGAAAATTCACTTCCTAAACCAGGAATCTCTGCCTCACAAACTGTAAAACTTTCTGGGTTAATATACACAAGTAAAATGTTTCCAGGATTGGTTTTGAAATATCATACTTATTGTATCACAAAATAACCCTAGTACAGTTTTTACATCAATGATTGACTGAAATGTACAGGCGGCTGGAGGACATTAGCATCTACAAGTTTGAGGAAGTGCATTAGAAGTATTGGTTCATTCACTGAGTAACTATTGTGAATGTCCTTCTTGATGATCCAGTTGTGTACTTGTCTAAATGTTGTGTACTTATCTAAATGTTGTGTACTTGTCTGTTTGTGTAGGGGGATGGCAACGACATATGACTTTCCAGCACCATGTACAAAACCTTCAGAAGTTTTACCAAATGCTGCGCAACAATGGTTTTCATAAAAGTAACATCAAGACCTTTTTTGCCAACGGTGGACCATCCTTAGGTGCTCGTGTTTCATAAAACTTGTATCATTTCTGTCAAATAGAATATAATCTTTCTTTTCAGACCGTTCACATACTAACAGTGATTTCCCCACAGAGGATGTAGAAGGCGTGTATCCTGCCACAGAGAAGGCGGCCATTCGTAACCACGTGTCGTACGTTTGCCGGAAGCAGCACTGTGCAGACTCTTTGGTGCTGTTCCTAAACTCGCCCACACGCAGCGATGGGACCATGCTTCTGTGGGACGCCAACCTCGATGGAATTGTAAGTGCAAAAGAACAAAAACTGCTGCAGCTTTGGACAAGGTTGTTTTATTGTGCCAGATACTTTTTAAATGTGTATTTGTAATATCCTTTAGAGAAGACCAATGCAGATACATGTTATTGTTTCCTGTATCATTCCTAACACGTCTGAATCTGTGTGTCTTGTGTGGTTTGCAGGCGGACTTGAAGGAGCGATACTCGGTGAACGAGCTGCTCGCTGACCTGGCGGGCTGCCGGGCCACTCGGGTTCTGCTCTTTGTGGATCAAAGCTACAGCGGGGTGTTATACAAAAGGCTGCGCGGATCTCAAAAACATGCAAATGTGGTTCTAATCCAGAATCCTTCAAAGCAGTCCCATATGTACCAGAGGGAGAGCCTAGACTGGGACCAGGACAACTGGGTGTCCATCAGCCCGGCCACATGTCTCCAGGACCATTTTGGAAAGGTGCTCCTGAGTTTATGCAGCTAATACATGTTGCAGTTTTCTTAACCTCTCCTTGTCTCTCAGGATGCTGGGACATCCCACCTGCTGGAGCCTTGGGCTGGTCTTCTGAATGTGACCCTGGCTGGAGCTCCATGTCATGTCATACCTCCTCTCTCAGACGGCGAGATGCGGAGGCAGTACCAGGGCTGCCAAAACCTGCCCACGGCTCTGTGGCACCAGAACCTACGCAGAGTCAACTAGACCTGGAACACAGAGACCATAGTGCGAGTGAGTCCACGACCTCACGGAGAAGTCCATGAAAAGAAAAGGAATTCAAGAAAACTATGAAAGGTGTACCTGCGACCCCACAGGTGTATATTCTGTAAATAGTGATTTACCACACAGTATTAGTGATGATGTCATTACAAATCAGATTATTGAGATATTTGCATGGCATTGACAGATGACATCAGGAGATGTCTCTGGAGGTTCTTAAAGTAAGAGTATGCCCACTATGTGGGGGGTCCCTGATAGTTCACTAACTATAAAAACTATAGGATCTGGGTCAATCGATCTGTAAAACATTCCCATCACCTGAGGAGGTGTGTGTGTGTGTGTGTGTGTCTGTGTGTGTGTGTTTGTGTGTGTGTCTGTGTGTGTGTCTGTGTCTGTGTATGTGTCTGTGTGTGTGTGTGTGTGTCTGTGTCTGTGTGGTGTGTGTCTGTGTGTGTGTGTGTCTGTGTGTGTGTGTGTCTGTGTGTGTGTGTTTGTGTGTGTGTCTGTGTGTGTGTCTGTGTGTGTGTCTGTGTGTGTGTGTGTCTGTGTGTGTGTCTGTGTGTGTGTGTGTGTCTGTGTCTGTGTGTGTGTGTGTCTGTGTGTGTGTGTGTGTGTCTGTGTCTGTGTGGTGTGTGTCTGTGTGTGTGTGTGTCTGTGTGTGTGTCTGTGTGTGTGTGTGTGTCTGTGTCTGTGTGTGTGTGTGTCTGTGTGTGTGTGTGTGTGTCTGTGTCTGTGTGTGTGTGTCTGTGTGTGTGTCTGTGTGTGTGTCTGTGTGTGTGTGTCTGTGTCTGTGTGTGTCTGTGTGTCTGTGTGTGTGTCTGTGTCTGTGTGTGTGTCTGTGTCTGTGTGTCTGTGTGTGTGTGTGTGTCTGTGTGTGAGTCTGTGTCTGTGTCTGTGTGTGTGTGTCTGTGTGTCTGTGTGTGTGTCTGTGTCTGTGTCTGTGTGTCTGTGTGTGTCTGTGTGTGTGTCTGTGTCTGTGTGTGTGTCTGTGTCTGTGTGTGAGTCTGTGTCTGTGTGTGTGTGTCTGTGTGTGTGTGTGTCTGTGTCTGTGTGTCTGTGTGTGAGTCTGTGTCTGTGTCTGTGTGTGTGTCTGTGTGTCTGTCTGTGTGTCTGTGTCTGTGTGTCTGTGTCTGTGTGTGAGTTCAACAAGAGGACATCCCGCTCTACACACTGGGGTTAATGAATGTGTGTGAACATCAAGTCTCTGGGGCTCTTCAACATTTCAGAACCAATCAGCTGTGTCTATTTTTGTCTTTGGTTCATCTTTTCCGTACCTTTGTCGTCGTGTCCTCTCCTTCACCTTCTCTCAGCTACTTCCTTGTCATCGACTTTACTTTTCTCTTAGAGGCTGTCCTCAGGTTCTTTGAGGAACTCAATATTGTAAACTTTATTTTACCAGCTTCAAAAATAAGACCGAACCAAACGCACAAAAACACATGAGAACCATTTCATGAACCAAACCACTGTATTTTTCATTAGCTCCAATCTGTTGAACAAAAATCATAATTCTAAATTCTATGAACTATATATATATATATATATATATATATATATATATATATATATATATATATATATATATATATATATATATATATATATATATAATGCTAATCAGAGCTTTGAGGTTTTACACAGTCTGACAGTCTGCCCCTGGTCTTTAACATCTGGATCCTAGTTTTTGAAGCTGAAGCCAATGCTTTAACATTAGCATAAATACATTTTGATATTTATGTCACATATCATTGTGCTTTTCTCATGGGTTTGTGTGGCAGACACAATAATGTGTTACACAGACTGAGGTTCATAGAAACAGAAATTGAAAACGTGTGTATTCAAAGTGTTGTTTAAATAGAAATATGTGTTTATGTGTCTGCGTTCAGTGGCATGGAGTAGTACCACTGTTTTGTAACAAAATGTACATAAACTGACTACAATATATGCATGTGTCTAATGAATAAAGTACTTTTATAAAATATTAACCATTATTTATTATTGTACAAATGGGATATTTATTCTAATAATTCCACCTAAAGGTCTCTTTGCCTTCAGGGTTCTTTTACACACATCACTGACCCTCGTCTTGGTCACTTTGAGATCACTTCAATAACAAAGCCCCTGTCTCAGCATCTCCCTGAGCAGGTGACAAAAGCAATGATAGTAGTTTGTTTGTATAAATCACCTGTGCTCTGCTGGTTGGTCCACATGGTTGCGTGTTCTGCTGGTTGGTCCACATGGTTGCGTACAGTCCTCCCAGAGTCAGAAGCTCTTCATGTCTAAGAAGAGCAGAGCACATTATTACTTTATACACAGTCCACACATTTTGTTACCAAATGTCCCAATGAAGAACAGGTGAAGTCCAGTGGGGGTGGGTTCAAAAGTGTCCAAAATGACATGCGCTGACATGCTGCAGTACCACCCCGGGCCTGTGGGGGTGGACCCGGAATAAGAATTAGCCATTGCTAACAAATAGCATTAGCAGACCTCTCGAAAAACACCTTTACAGGATGGTCCAAAAGTCGGCTCTTGACCCAAAGCTCCGTTCCACGTGTGTGTCAATGCTGAGGGAGTGTTCTGGACCAGTCTAGTTTAGTCGCTGTGGACTTTAGAAGTCTCTCGTTCCAATGAATGGAGCTCGTGCAGCTGACGCATGCGCAAATGCGTTTGTTCACATTTTCCAGCCCCCGCGGCCATTTTGAATCACTCCATGAAAGCCAAATTTTTTGCCCATTAGAACCATGGATGTATTATATTAACTGGATAGGGCAGCCATTCCCAAACTCAGTAACACCGAGGCCCCCTTAAAAATCTGACGGGTCTGCGTGGCCCCCCAAAATAATAACCAAGAAGACAACATTAAGAATAGGCTCTTCTGGTTATTTTATTTTGGGGAAATAGCCTCTGCTACAAACATTGTAATACAAAAATGATTACAGTGGATTATTCAAGTCAAATAATGAACACAAATATTTTAATATTACAAACAAAACATTATAAATTTAACATTAAATAATTATATTTTTTATTTTATTTTTTTATGACCACCCGCGGCCCCCCTGCAGTACTCTCGCGGCCCCCTGGTGGGCCGCGGACCCCACTTTGGGAGACACTGGGATAGGGTGTTACTAGCTTGTAGCTGAATAACTCACGTGCTCAGGGGATTCTCGCGGTACTGCAGACTGAACCAGACTGAACCAGACTAAATTCACGTGGGCTACCCAGAAATTTTCCCCATAGAACTCAGTGCATATTAAAACAGCTCAACCTCAGCTGACAGAGAACCTGACAGAGAACCTACAGCTTTAATAAAGATAGTATTTTGTGGGGATTTTAGTGTCCCTTGTCGTCCTGAACTTTTTTTCTTCTTAAATCCTTCGGTTTTGTTTAAATCCACACTTTAGTGCCACAAACTCTGCTCGTCTGGCTCCCGCTCTAACTCCCGCTCTGATGAACTGCTCTGATTGGTCAGAGCGCGGCCGAGCCCCTCTGTGCACAAGCGTGAGACCCGGTGTGAGACCCACACACGCGTGTTTGGCGCAATGCATTATGGGAGATCATCCACTGCACAGAACCGGGAGGACCAGACGATGCCCAAATACAGGCGAGTTTCCCATAGATCTTTGAGAGTTCCAGGCGACTTCCGCTAATCTTTCAGCCCCCATGCCGTCACAAAGCGCCACTGAGCACAACCATTCATTTAAATAGGGCGCCATCTTGGATCGCCGGGGCTTGATTAGAACTGCGGAGATAGGCCTGACTACGTCTGTTAATATTTACAGTCTGTGGTGAAATCTCAGAGCATTTGTCTGTTTCCAACATTGAATTGGACTAATTGGATGTTGCTGCTTCACTTTTCAATAGTAAAAAATGCTGCTTGAATTAAATGCAAACATTAAATCAAAGCTGTATGAGACCTCAGGCCTCTTTCTGTCGATGGTCCGAGACCTCAGGCCTCTTCCTGTCGATGGTCCCAGACCTCAGGCCTCTTTCTGTCGATGGTACTAGACCTCATGCCTCTTCCTGTCGATGGTCCGAGACCTCAGGCCTCTTTCTGTCGATGGTCCGAGACCTCAGGCCTCTTCCTGTTGATGGTACTAGACCTAATGCCTCTTCCTGTCGATGGTATTAGACCTCAGGTCTCTTCCTGTTGATGGTCCGAGACCTCAGGCCTCTTCCTGTCGATGGTATTAGACCTAGGGCCTCTTCCTGTCGATGGTATTAGACCTCAGGCCTCTTCCTGTCGATGGTATTAGACCTCAAGCCTCTTCCTGTCGATGGTCCGAGACCTCAGGCCTCTTCCTGTCGATGGTATTAGACCTCATGCCTCTTCCTGTCGATGGTCCGAGACCTCAGGCCTCTTCCTGTCGATGGTATTAGACCTCAGGCCTCTTCCTGTCGATGGTATTAGACCTCAGGCCTCTTCCTGTTGATGGTCCGAGACCTCAGGCCTCTTCCTGTCGATGGTCCGAGACCTCAGGCCTCTTCCTGGCGATGGTCCGAGACCTCAGGCCTCTTTCTGTCGATGGTTCGAGACCTCAAGCCTCTTCCTGTTGATGGTACTAGACCTCAGGCCTCTTCCTGTCGATGGTACTAGACCTCAGGCCTCTTCCTGTTGATGGTACTAGACCTCAGGCCTCTTCCTGTTGATTGTACTAGACCTCAGGCCTCTTCCTGTTGATGGTATTAGACCTCAGGCCTCTTCCTGTTGATGGTACTAGACCTCAGGCCTCTTCCTGTTGATGGTACTAGACCTCAGGCCTCTTCCTGTTGATGGTACTAGACCTCAGGCCTCTTCCTGTTGATGGTATTAGACCTCAGGCCTCTTCCTGTTGATGGTACTAGACCTCAGGCCTCTTCCTGTTGATGGTACTAGACCTCAGGCCTCTTCCTGTTGATGGTACTAGACCTCAGGCCTCTTCCTGTTGATGGTACTAGACCTCAGGCCTCTTCCTGTTGATGGTACTAGACCTCAGGCCTCTTCCTGT